TACTACTACTACTACTACTACAACTACTACTACGACTACAACAACAACAACAACAACAACAACTACTACTACTACTACTACTACTACTATGTACTTCTGCTACTGCTACTACTACAACACACCTATTACTACTACCTACTACCCACTTCCTGCTTCCTAGTTCACACTTCCCACTACCCACTCCCTACTGCCTACTGCCTACTCCCTACTGCCTACTGCTACCGCCTACTACCTACTACCTACTACTCACTATCCACTAACCACTACTGCTGACTACTACTACTACTACTACTACTACTACTGCTACTGCTACTACTACTACAAGCGACTGACTGGCACCGCAAGTGATAGTCTTTGATCTGCTGAAATATTTCCTCCTGATAATACAGGTCATAACCTTTATCAATGTATCAAGAAATGTATTCGCCAGAAACAATCGCTTGATCGCTTGCTCATTCCAAATTAGATGCGCTACTGCGCTTTCGTTCGTTTTGATGATTTCACCTTCCCGTTCACACTGTGTCTTAAACCAGTGTCGTGGTTGTGAGGTGGTTTCCATGTTTTGTGGCTATAAACAAAAAATTACTACTACTACTACTACCACGACTACTACTACTTATACTACTACCACTACTACTACTACTATTACTACTACTACTACTACTAGTATTACTACTACTACTACCACCACTACTACTACTACTACGACGACGACGACGACGACCATCACCACGACGACGACAACGACGACGACTACGACTACGACTACGACGACTACTACTAGTACGAGTACTACGACGACGACTAGGACGACAACGACTGTGACGACTGTGACGACGACTACGACTACTACGGCGAGGACGATGACGACGAGGAGGACGACGACGACGACTACGACGACGACGACTACTACTGCTATACTACTACTACTACTACTACTCTTACTACTACTACTATTACTACTACTACTACTACCACTACTACTACTACTACTACTATTATATACTACTACTACTACTACTACTACTACTACTACTACTACTACTAGTACTACTAGTACTACTACTACTACTAGTACTACTACTACTACTAGTACTACTACTACTACTACTACTACTACTACTACTACTACTACTTGGATGACCGGCCCTGCTTGCATGTAGATGGCACACTTGTTATCTAGATAGCCTACATGGCATCCAATTTGGCAGACTTAGCCCAAGTCTGCTAAGTTACATAGCGCGGACATGCTATGTATACTTAGCGCACTTAGCTAAGTGTACTTAGCTCACTTGCTAAGTGTACTTAGCTATGTAGGCTAAGTAGGCTAAGTAGGTTTTGGTGCTATAGGTTTTTGTGGTTTTCCAGCGTTGATTTTGTGAATGCGCAGGAGGCAGAATACAAAAAACAGCATACCGCGCAGGCGTTGTTTGCCTTCGAGTCTCGCGTAATTGTAATTTTGCATGCCTCGGTTTAAACGAGGCAGGTTTCCAACGTTGCTTTTTAGAGAATAGATTACGCCTAACTTGTGGCGTTGACCATGACAGAACTGATCAAGCAGCAAGCGCTGAAAGAATATATCTTAAAAGCTGGGATGGGCAAATGTTGAACTGAAAATCAAAAAGTCGAACCAAGTCGAGGGGTGCATATCTTTTTGGGGTTGGGGCTGCCTCTTTGAGATATATGTCTATACGCGACGCACCTTTGTTTGTGATGCATGCCTGGGATTATATGCACACATATGAACAAATGTATATATACACACACACACACACCGTCACACCGTTTCCAAACATTATAAGTGCCCGCCCCCATCGCGCAGGCACCACACCGCAGCATGTACAGCCACGCACGCCTGCCAGCGGAGCAATTGCGAGCCATGCGTGACCCTGCCAGGTTGTTAGGGAGACTTTTGCTCTCTCGAGGTCTGTTCTTACATAGAATTGAGTTGGACTGGCTTGCAGCAACGTGCAAATATTTGTTTTGTGTCACCACGCGAGGAAACAACTTTGCTCCTGCGTGTTGCTATCGCATGCATGGTGGCCGCGCCGCACCACATCACGCTCTCAAGGAATTGGAAACACTGTGTTGCAACAAGATTTCGGCAACGTGTTTAAACGTGTATAAATGCATGGATTCACATTGGAAACCTTATATATATAACTTAACTTGAGGGTGGTTGCGTTCTTTAATGTTCCTCCTCATCCAACACTGAACTTGGAAGCGTGCGTGGGGGTCGGTGCAGGTGGCTGCAGGGTCTTTGCGTGACTCGCCCACTACCCTATAGGTGATGCAGGGTCTTTTCGTGGCTCGCCGCCCTAGGGCGCGACGATGATCACCTCCGGATCATTTGTCGGGTGCCAAACACAGCACCTCTCGATGTCCGCCGTTGGCACGAACATCGGCGAGTCAGCCTTCTTAAATGTATTAGGCGCTGCAGCCGGTGCCCACGGTGAGACGACGCTGAAGTGGACCTGGTCAATGCTGACGTGGAACCACACCTCGACGATGCGCTGCTGGCCCTGCACTTTGGCTAGGGCCACGTCTTGAGTAGCACGCAGACGCCCAGGCCCCAACATGGCATCGGACGCTTGCTGCACTGCGTCCAAGGCTGATCCACCTGCCACAGCTCTGGCATGCACGGCAACTGCCTCCTCAGCCGGCTTTGGGTTAACCAGACAAATTCCGGAGTTGACCTGGAAGCTTTGCAGGGATTCAGCCTGCGACAGCGCAGCCATTTGGAGCAAAGACTGTTCAAATCCAGTGGTGCGATTTGCGTTGTGGGTGTCGTTGGCAAAACGCTTGAGCTCCTTATGTTTCCGTTCGTGAACCCAGCACGTCAAAACCGACTGGATCTTCATCATATTGGCTAAATGCATGGCATAATGAACCTTAGGCTGCTGGTTTTCAGGCCCGTAGGCAGCGACTCTCAGTCGAAGGTGCCTCTTCACTGCAGCCTCGAGCTGGTCAGGGGTCACGCCGCCACATTGTTTATCTCGGACCAGCAGGTCAAGAACATCCGCCAGGGCATAGAAGCTGAACGCAGCTTCCTGTGTGCTCAGCGGGGCGTTTGGGGGCACTAGTTGCATCAGCACGAGGCGAAGGCAGGGGTAGACGCTCAAGGCCTCTGATGCCGAGCATTTGATGTCACCCCCATCGTACCCCCGAAGCGTCTGGCTTCCACTGGTCCCTTTGGCACGGAGCTGCTTGGGGAATTGAAACGTTTGGAGGTATGCGCCCAAGTCCTGCCATCTCAAGCCGGCGTCTTTGAGCCGGGCCATCAGGAAACCACCTTCAGTGTTGAATACACCGCTGACACAGTAAATGTGCATCCAGTCCATCTGGGTCACTGTGATTGGGCCGCCATGCATGGAGGGCAGGGCAATTCAGCGGGCCGAGCTGGCTGTGCACAATTCCTAGTGCCTTCTCCATTTTCTCGAACTGAGCCCTGCAGCACGGAGTCATCTGTCTCTAGTGCCAGTTTAGAGGTGTCGAGCTCAACGTGCGACACCAAGCGGTCGCTGTGTGGATGTAGACCTAGGTGGTGCAGCACGACGTTCTGGCAGTACATGCAGGGTTTCGACCCTGAAGCTCCCTTTATGGACTATGGACCAGCAACTTTTGAGTGCAGCTTCGTCACCGATCACGGTGGAAATGCGAGCAAAAAGAATGGGAGGGAATCCGTGCCCCAAATCCAAGTTCACTCCATTGGCAGCGTCCTGGCCGGTCTTGAAGAAAAGAAGTGCTGCCTGCCTGAAGAGCTGGGCCGAGCCATCCTTTGCGTCTCTCACGACGCTTGCACGTATGGATACTAAATGCATCCATACGTCTTCTGAGGAAAGGCCACGGTTGAACTCTGAAAAACTAAAATAAAACGAGATCCTGTCGTTGCATGGTTTCAAAGCTGCCCCTGGCAGGATCTCATCACTGTAGATGCAAATGCCCCATGGGTGAGCAGCATCATTGGGGTGCTTCGCCAAAGTCTGCAGCAAAAAGTCCTTGCAAGGCGGTGCCTGTTGCACTGTCCACTCCAACAACCGCCAGGGGTTGAGGGCAGGACTCTTGCAAGTGGTGCCATCGTCACGCAACAACTGCACTTCTGCCCACAAGGTCTTTGGGAGTGCCGCGTCTCGAGCACGCTTCACACTGCTCCTCGAGACTGCCTTTGGCAAACCACCGTCACGAACTTCCTTCAAAATCTTCGCCAAGCCGGATTGGGACACGTAAGAGCCACCGGCTGACGCAAGCACACTCGAGGAGTGTGCAGCCATCGAGTGACGTGCGAGCTGTTCACCTGCAGCCCTGCATGATGCAGCGAGTGTTGAACTACACCCTGCTGTGAAACGTTCTGAGTGTCTATCATGTATATAGGGGTGCATCGACACTGCAAACGATTGAAGAGTTCACGTACATCACCGTGAATGTATAGTCTGTATAGCCTTCCAAAAGAAGAATCGATTCAATGATTCATTCATGGTTCAAACCTGCAGGAGGCTATGTAGGAGTTTATTGAGAACAACTTGAGTTGGTAGACTGTGAACGCTGACAGAAAAGTCTCTCACAGGACATGAGCCTCCAAGCAATGTCACTTTGAAATTCAATCACCATGAATCATGCGCAGGTTTGACTGTGGCACACAACCAGTTCGCTTCACTGTCACAATGACTCTCTCCGGACATTGCGAGTGCTTGGCACACCCTGCACGTGTGCTCTGCCAAGTCACGCGCCTGGCTCCACTTCAGCCTGCGCCGTCATGCGCGTGGCTCCACTTCAGCCTGGGCCGCGAGCGCGTATGAGTCTACAAGACACACCCCTGTCACTGTTCCTGCTTAAACGGCTTCCAAAACATCGATAGACTCTAGACCACTGCATGCTTCGTCTATGAAAGTTCAAGGCAGCTGAAACAAACTCTATGACATGTTGTGAAGGCTTCCCAAATATCGAGACTGTTTCGCCTATGAAAGGTTCAAGGCTGCTGAAACAAAATCCATGACATGTTTAGAAGGCTTCCAAAATGTCCAAACCAATTGTTCGACTATGAAAGGTTCCCACGCAGAAAGTAAACTTGCTTGGAGCAACATGCGAACGCTTTTCCTTCCTTCACTGCTCACTTGTAGACCTTACCCTTCAGGGTCTTCTGTGATGCAACCCATTGGTTGTAATCAGCTCTTCCGCTGAATCGCTCGGCCTTTGAAGTCTGACTGGCCTTGGCCTTTGGAGCTTGTTTGGCCTTGACCTTTGGTGCAGACTTCTGCACCTTTGTGGGCGCAGCTGCTGGCCTCTTCATGACAGGCAATTCTTGCCTGGCAGTCTCCCGTGCTTTCAGCGCTGCCTCGTACGCGGCCACCTGATCTTCTGGCTTCATGAGTATTGCCTGGTTCATGGACGACTGGCTCTCACTGGGCTTGGGCTGCGCAGGCCCAAGCGCCGGTGAAGCAGGTGGTGGTGGAGCAAGCGCCGGCGGAGCCACCAGTGGCAAAGTTGAAGCCGGAGCCACATCCCCTGGACTCCCTTGACTTCCTTGACTATCTTGTGAGTCTGCCGCAGGCTGTCCGCCCCCTGATCGCTTTTCCTTTGGCTTGAAGAACTGCAAACCCGGAATCGGTTCAGAAGCTTGGCTCTGAGCTTGTCCATGCCCTTGCGCTAGCTGTGCAAATGCAGCTGCAAAGGCAAGAAGAGGGTTTGAAGCCATGCCCTGGTTGCCAATAGCCGTTGGCAATGCACTGCTGCTGCTGCTACCACTCAACACCATGGCAGTTGAGCATGGTGCAAGCATCTTGCTGTTTTTGCGGAGCGCAATGTTGTTGGAGAGGTGGCTGACGCTTGTGCCATCAGTGTGGCTTTCCACTGGCGGGTCAGCTTCATCATACAAGGTCAGGATGCTGCCCTCGGGTTTGTCTGGCCAGCTCACGAGGAAAGGCACTGGTGGTGGCACCGTCTTCCTCTTCAACCGCAACTGCTTCTTGAGCTCGTTGAGGGCAGCGAAGCTGTCGGTGGCACTGGGCGCCTGCAAACCATTGTGTGTTGCAGCGGCAATGATGTGCCTCAGAGTCAGCTCTGATGGCAAATGCAGTCCGAGCCTGCAGCACCGAGCGAGCTGCAAGCGCCTCGCATTTGGCAATCATCGAGGCCTGCGACTTCAGAGCGTCCAAGTCCATTTGCATGAGGTACGCCCCAAAGTTTGTCACCTGCTGGCTTGGGCGTCGCTGGCCTTTTGTGCCACTGCATTCAATCAAGGCGTCGTTGATGCTGCTGCTGAGCCGAGCTTTCTGATCGGTTTGCCATGGACCATTCGCTAAGGCAGAGATCAGGTCTGCAGCCTCCACGGCATCTATCTTGGCACTCCTGAATTTCTGCTCCCACGAATCAACTTGTTGCTTCAGGCATGCCTCGAAAGCACCGGCATTTTGAAGAAGCGCCTGCTGTGTCTTCAAATAGGTTTGGACGTCGGTCAAAGCTTTGAGAAGTTCAGCCATGTTCAGCTTTCAAAATTGTAGGGAAAACTTAAACACAAATGGCTTCGAGCGCGAGCTTTGATAAGCCCTGCAAGCTGCAAGTTGCGAGTTGTGAGCATACCCTGCAACTGGTGCGTGCCTCTCAAGTGGAAACACTGGAGGCAATTGAACAAAGTGTCTCAAACGCACCAACGTTTCTCAAACAGACTTATACGACATATTCAGGCAGCCACTTCAGAAGATATTTCTGTGACTCCCTGTAGATCTCTGCCCTGACGCTGAGCACCCAGACTCTGGAGACGCGTCGCGTCGTGAGCTGGCAGAGCTCAACCTGGGCCCGGGAAGGCAAACTCAATCAATCATGTATGTGGGTGTTCCACGTGGTTGCGATTGCAGCTCATTGTATTTCTTTACGGCGTTAAGATGAATGACTTCTCACAATGTTTGGACTCAACGCTTCACTTGTCACAAATCAATACTACTTTAAAATGTCAAACCCTTTGCCCTGCAACGGAGACATCACCGCTAAAACTGCTAAAAAAACTCGTAGTACGCATACTACGTGGTGTATACCTTGTTACACAAGTTGCCACTCATCAGTGCGTATATGCAACCAAAAACCTTTATGTATAGCAAAGTGGTTTCTCAATTGTTGATCTGCTGAGCACTGAGTGTCCCTGCGCAAAGATGGTGCACGGTTTCGCCTTGTGCTGTGGCAGGTGCGTTGAGGAGCTCACAACCCAACATCAAAACTAATGCAAACACCTCACCTTCGAATCGCTGCATCATCCACAGGGTGTACATGTATGTATACAGAGTATATATATATAGAGAGAGAAGAATATAAGCATAGAGCCACCTACGATGACAAAGTCTGACGTGCAGAGACTGATGACAATGTTCTTTTTAGTCGTTGCTGAAAATGTGATGTCCATCAATGCTGCAATCAAAAACCATCAAAAACAACGCAGCCACTTCACTGGTGCACAGTGGTCACTGGTGCACAGTGGGCACCGCGGCCATCTACTGGTCATGGGCCGGAGAGTTCACGGCCTGGCGCTTCACAGCGGGGCGCTTGAGCATGGCTGGGCGCTTCAGCACCTTGCAAGATTCACCCTTGCCCTTGGCCGCAGCAGCTTTGGGGGCTGGGCGGTTGCTCTGCCTCTGTGGCGGAGAAGCGCTCTGCCCTCCAGAGTGAAAGAGCTTCCGAAGCTGGCCAAAGTGAGGCTTCAGTTCGGTGTGTCCCCACAACAGCCGCATGAACTCCAAATACCAATGGGTGTAGCGGTACCACATTTGCAGGACATCCTTCAGCTCCTCGTACACCTCTTGGACCGTCTGGGTCTCACTCATCTCCGAGTGGAACACCGTGGTCCCGCCAATGGTGGTGCACTTCACTGTGAGCAGCGAATCCTCGCGCTGGTCTGCCACCATGGTGAGCACCACATAGGCTTTGCGAACATGAACTCTGCCTGCCCGCCTTTGCCCTGCTCGTGCCGTGACAGCACAATGCACGAGTGCTCCCAGAGCACTTCATCAACCCAATATTTCTTCGCTACGCACGGCGAAGTCGTCACGTAAAATGCCGCTCCAATGGGACGTGTTCCGTCAAGAACCTCCCTGAACCGCTCGCATGCCGACGGACACGATCTGGACCAGCCCTGAAGTGTCAGAGCCGCCGCCTTGTCGGCCGTCTGTACCACCTTGTATTGGAACCGGCCCTCATGTGCCATTGCTGGTGTGCTGTCTCAACTAGCGCAGGAAGGCTTCACAATTTGAGACTGCTACTACACAAATGCCACGTGCGAGCAGTAAAGGTAGCCCTGCACTGTGCATGCGAGTGTGCAGCACCCTGCGTGCACATGGAATGACTCATGAGTCAGTCCATTAATGGTCACTAATTCCACATGTCTACATTTCTATAACGGAATGCAAGACAACTTGTTTAGAGGTTAGATGCATCATACTTGACCAATTCATTGCACATCTCGACGATGGCAGCGCGCTGTGAGGAATGCACGATATGCATGGACTGCATGGATGATCACAATATGCGCAACATACATGGACTGCACATGTTGCATTGTTTGCGTGGACAGCAGTTTGCCACCCAGTGCATGGTATGAACCATGGTATGAACCGACAACTACCTACGAAGGAACACACCTAATGCCAGAAATATAATATCGGCGTGATTGCAGGTCTCAAAAGCAAAAACAACTGTCCACATAGACACTCACAGGAACCCATATAAGGAACCTTCTAGCTCACCTTAAACGTGTCGGCACTCTCTCCCCTCTCCACATGTGGTCATGCGTCCGAACCAATTTCCACGAAACGTGAACAAACATATGTGTGCTTCCTTTGCGCTGCCCACACACGGTTTCGTGCTTTTTTGTCCGGAATCCTCACGGCTCTCTGATCAAGCAGTGCAGACTGTGTGACGAGGCCTGTACAAGGAGTTCACCCAAAGTATCAAAATTTTGTTGAACAACAAAAATTGACAGCCAGATTGTCAAAAAAATATTGAACAACAAAATATTGACCATCATACTAGCAAAAAAATATTGAACAACAAAATATTGATCATCAAACTAGCAAAAAAATATTGAACAACAAAATATTGGCAATTGTATTGTCAAAAAAATGTTGAACAACAAAATTCTGACAACTGTAATGTGAACCACAATGTTGAACAACAACTCTCAGAATCCTAATAGCTTCTCTCCTGATTGCCTTGTCACATGTTCAGTCGATGGAAACATCATTGATGTAGCTAGGAGTTTGTGTGAACTATGTCGGCCAACACAAACAGT